AAAAAAAAAAAAAAAAAAAAAAAATGCTTTTTCATTATACCGCTTTTGTTTTCAGTAGCTCGTCCTAACGTAATAAACGTAATAATTATGACTTGATTAATTGTTGCACACACGTTGTCCGGACAGTCAATAAGCCCTGCAAAAGGGGCATAAAAACGCCTGAGCGGTACGACGCAGTACGGTAGTCGGAAAAAATTCAGTGTTGTGGGAGGAGGGGGGCACTAATAATTTTCATTACAAACTACTATACTTTTTGAACGATGAAATATTTCGAAACAACCAATAAAACAAAATATTTTGCTGAGGGAACGTGCACCCAGTGCCCCTCCCTTCCGGGTATTATGGCACTGGTATACTATGATTTAATGACTATAAAACTATTACACAAGGTGGTGACATGATGTGTCGCGTCATATTATATGACGTGACACGTTATTTTATGTTCATTAATACCACGTAATAGGTATAATAGATATTTTATACCAGCAGATCGTTGAGGATGAATATTCAGCTCAAGGCGAAACAACAGTGGCGGCGTCATTTCAATATTTGCACGTATAGACCTTACCGAATTCGCCGACCGATGAGGTAAGGAGGTTACCAATGTTATTTACCGAAAAATAATTGTATTATCGTTTCGATCCAATATATTATACCCTTCGCATAGTGGATACCTAATATTATGCATATATATATATGTATATATTAGATGGACACCTATACTCGGCTTTATAATATATCTTACTGTTGTATTATAAAACGATTACATACCTGTAGGGCCCGGATTTAAATGCAAAATGCATATTTTTTTGATTGATATTAGACGATTCTTTCCAAGTACATAATTTAATTCACGTAACAGATACTCCAAAATTTACACTTTTATTTTGCTGTTTTTTTAATGGTTTTTTTTTTTTTTTTTTTCATTTTTAGAGCAATTTTTAGCATTTTTCGGTCAGTTTTTCATTTTAGTTCAGCATATTTGTACAATATACGAGTATTTATACATAATACAACCGTCGATTAAATATGGTATAGTTAATCTATAATACGACTCAATAATTTAAATTTACCTAATTCAAAATATTACCCACGTTTTTCGGGTTTTCCAGTCAACCAGTAAAATACAACCTCTCAATCAATACTGCCGTCGCCAATCACAAGTCAAATTTTTCAATTTTCTGTTGTTTTTTTTTTTTTTTAATAAAATAAAACTATTATAAATTACCCAATAGAACAATAAATTTAAAAAAAATTATATAACATTTTTAGCTTTTTTTTAGAGAATTTTCCGATAGTTTTTAGTGCATTTAAATCCGGGCCCTACATATTATATGTATAAATAATCCACAAAGACCACGGTATCGATTGTCGATTTTCAATACAGGAGATTATTCTTATGTTATTAACCATTACCATTGACATTATTATTACTTTTTCCTACTCCTTACAACAATAACGTACCCAGGGAAGATATCTTAAGAGGGTGCTCCAGCTCCCCTCCCTATTGACCATGTTAAATACAAAACGTTAAAAATATAAACTATTCGGCATTGGGGAATTATTACTAATAAAATAGTAATCATTGAAAATTGTCACTATATTTTATTCAACTAAGTACAAATAATTTCTCTTGCTACATAATTATGCATTTTGTAAAATTTTAGTTTAGTTCCCCCCCCTTCTCACTTAAAAATCCTGGCTACGCCATTGCCTTATAGACTATATTATATACCAAACTGTTATAACTCATAAACGGCAAATCCATTTTTTTGCCTATTAAATCCTATTAAATAATCTTTAGATCAATATTATTTTTTATCAAATCTGTGTTGAAAAATAGAGGGAGATTGTCATTTTAAATTTCTACTCATTTAAGATATGAGAATTCCATAATGATTAAAAAGAAAAAAAAACAGAAATAAAATTATACTTTAAATCCTCCGAAAAAATCACCGGATAAGAGAATTATCCTGCATATTACATGTATATTATATTATGTCACAATGTCTTAAATAATTAGGTAGATAGTGTTAATGAATGTAATGACAATGAATAATAAAAATAATAGACAATAGTGCACATCTGAAACATGATATTATGACGTAGTTTATTATGTAGGCTACGCTATACGTGCGTGTTCAAGTGCAAGCCTTTCAGCATTATCTTTACTTAAATTGAAGAGACGTCTGAACAGAATCTGAACAATAGACTAAGTTAATTGAAACATCGTTCAACACACACCGGATACCTACATATCTACTCACCGTAAGTACCTATATGACTAAAACTTTCTACATCATCCCATGTAGTAATAATAGTAATATTTAATATGTTGCGAATGCGAATATAATAAGAGATTACAACAGAAGTAACATGATTTGTAAGTCTCGGGAATTTATTTTGGTAATAATATTATATCAAATTCTGTGTCAATATAATATTGCATAAAGTTAACGTTATTAATTATTATTAATGAATAGAATAAATTCATCTACCCAACAAATCTACCGAAAACCCAATACTTATGTAAGTGTTTAATTTATGATCAAACGACTCAAATGGAAAAGAAGGCATGCCTGGATATCATACTTACGGTATTTTCAAAAAAGTTTTGACCAAGAATTTAAACGAGAAAACACCAAAAAACCATTGGGCAAACAGAGTAAATGATGACTGAAGTAACAATATTATAATACAACGTAGACAGGCTGATGGACTGATGGACTGATGGAGGAGTGTAGTTAAAGCAGCGACAGTGCTACAATAATTGTAAAAGCTTAAAAAGAACAACAACAAATACGATATTTACAAACATAATATTGTATTATTGTACATTCTATATTATAATGCATAATTTTAACGTTATAATAATAATTGTTTTATGAGAGTTTAATCTACTACATTTGTTATTATTTGCTACGTTACAATAGCAAAACCTGGTTTTTCTTTGTTCTATGTTATTTTATGACACAATTTCTAATTAAATTCGTAATCTTAATAACTTAAAATATTGACAAAACTGTAACAGTTATAACTAAAATGGATAATAACGAATAGAAGTAATATAAAGGTTAGTAACACAATACGATATGGAATTCCATTAAAATACTGCGCACAAAATTCGTACATCATCCCCGAAGAATAGGGTACATATTTTAGAATATGCTCTATATATGTGTTTAAAGTCCGAAAGCGGATATGTTTAGGATTCCGAACACTCATAACACACACTTCCAATAAAAACTAAAGAATCGTATCGGAAAGACGTAGATTTAGCGTACTTAGCATTAAACATATCATACATATAATAGTCACAAAATCGAATATAAAGTTAAGGGTTGTGAAGATAATATTATGCACCGCAGCAATACATATATGATATGCACTTACATAAAATATATAAGAAATAAAGTGGAAAATGCATTGGTAAGATCATCTGTTATTTTGTTGATGTGACAGTTGGATAATCGAATTTAAAAACGTCTATAACTTGTGAGAATTGCGTATTGTCTGATTGGTACATAAATATAAAATAGTTAAGTATATAACCTATATTCCTAAAAATTTTTTGTTAATCCTCATTTTATTTTTTAAATTATGGTTTTATATTATTTCTAACACATATTTGCTAAAGAAATACAATTTATCTTTGGTTCCAGGGAAGGAAGGGTTAATTAAATGTTTGGCATTTATTTTTTTTAAATTATTTTATCTAGTGCAATTGTCGGACAACTATTTTTAGATCTAAATTGCATAAGTGTATGTATTTTCAAAATTAGTGTATGTATTAGTATACACTTCCATTATGATTTGTTTAATAATTATATGACAGTTGAAATTTTTAAGCAATATCTTACTTTACTCCAATTAAAATTATGTGAGTTGCAAACAGATCTATTTTTTATCTATTAAAGAGACTGACGTGTACCTTTGTAAAACATTACACATTGAAAATTATGTATATGATATTTTGTATAAACAATTTTTATAAATGTTTGAAAAAATGACTTTCATTTGCGAATGAACATTTTCTAATATGAATCATATCAAACCAAAAGAGAAAAACCACCTTACGGATGAAATATTAAGACACCTACTTGGCGTATCCATTTCAGAAATTGATTTTGCTGCGTTATCAACTGCAGCCATATATTCTCGAAATTCACATTTTCAACTTTCAAAAGTTGTAAAAATACCTTTTTTTACATACTTTTATGCTCTGTTCCGTCGGATTTTAAAGTTTTGAAAATTGGTAACTTTGAGTTCCCTGTTATATAAGGTAAAAGTCATACCTCATACATACATAAAAAGTCTGTGGAAATAAATACGAGAAATACAATAATTAAACACATAATATTATATAGTATTACATTTTTGTTTTTATTAAATTAAAATGTAAAGCAGATTTATCATATTATAAAACTAACTATATATGAACTATGTAGCTAGATAACACGAGTTTGTTACAAAATCGAAGTTCGAATATAGTTTACAAATACATTCAAGATATAATTAGGCTTAGGTACTAAAATAATATTATCCCAATATATAATATAGAATTTTTAACTAAAACTAAAATCCTGAAATCACATTTCAATTGTGTATTCCGCCGATTTTACTCAACTCCCAGCGGTAGGTATCCTGTAGTGACGATCCACACCATTGTACCATTTGATTGGTTGCGCAGATGTTCTTTAGAGTTTAGCCAGTTTAAGTTATGTAAGTAGGATCATAATCAGTTGACTACGATTAAATTTCATCAGTAACTGCAATACTTACTATAATCTTTAATAAACTTATAAAATATGCAATTCAAATTTTTGTTTGTTTTGTTTTGGTTGAGATTAGATATATTTTTTTATGTTCCTATATAAATGTACACAATATAAGTAGGTATAAATAATTTGCAATAGTGATATTTATTACCAAATATTTATCTTATCTTTAAAAATATCAAGCAGCCCAGCAAGACACGATCATTTTACTATTTAAATATCGTATTCGACTCGACTCGGAAACAAATACATATTTTGTAAAAATTACCCTTTGGCATATTTCTAGGCGGACACAGGAGGGGTTATATTTATAAGAGCGGATTTATTGGAATTATAGACAAATTTATTAAAGAAAATAAGACAATTATGTTACAATGATTATTTTATGTCTTGGATATTTTTAATGCTAGGTATATTTAATCAATATTTTTTTTACCAAACCCAAATATAATACTTGTAAACAAATACGATTACAGCTTCATTTAATTTCATAACAAGTATTCATTTGTGATTGCTTAATAAAAAAACATTATTATGTTCATTTCGATACACCTACCTAATAAAAATACAAAATTGAAATTCATTTTTGTTAATCTTTCTCCTCCTCCCCATGCCTTACTTTTCTAATAAAAATACCAGCTCTACTTGGAGTTTGAATGGATATTCGACGATTAAATTTTATTTTTGATCGCATTGTACAAAAAAAAAAAACAAAAAAATGTATTATTGTTTGTGTTTTTCGGAATAATGGTAAATATTCGGAGTATTATATTATGTATACACTCGCGTGTTGTATCAATTAATTAAACACTTCGCGGTTGCGTGTTTACAGGCGATTTATTTTACCGAAGACGATCCGTCCACTTAGGGGTTAGCGGACGGTAAATCTTTGGCGAAAATAAATCACTCATAAACGACACATCGAACGTTCAGACTTGAAATATATCGGGCGGGTAGACGTAAAAAACAAAAGACATATATTATTATATCGATTATATAGTTTCACTTCGAGAATACAAACGTATCGACTATCATATACATAGAGAAAATAAAATATGATTTTTTTTCGCGCTTGATATTTTACAAAAATATCGTTGTGAAGTATCTACTTATTGAAGGGATTCGAATATTTTCTTTCTTTGTGTAATACATACGAAACATAACAATTCGGGCCAATTTTCTGCTCAATTTATTCGCTTCAATTTAGCCCATCGATATGGTGAAGCGATGAGAATTCTGTACACAGATTTTGGCGTGAAGGTGAATACACGATGGCCATGTTAATTTTTCGATTTTCGTCGGACCTCAATTTCCAAGAATTTGTTATGAAAATTTGGAAAATGTACACAAATTAATAAAAAAAAAAAAAAAAATCTAAAATTGAATAGAAAAAATTGGCTCGGCCATCATTCTTCACGCCAAATTCAAATCTGTTTACAAAATTCATCGTTGCACTTCATTACGTCGACCACAATGGATTGATAGACAGCAAATACGTTTCAATTGCTATGCTGCGATTATTGCGCATGCGCCAATAATAAAGAAAATATTATCCGTTTCGAATTTCGTTAAATTAGTAAACGAATGGTAAGTAAAGTAGGTATAGAAAAAAATAAAATAAAAGAAAGTCAAACAAACAAACTAAAATGTAACGTTTTGCAAGGTAATGAAATCAAAGTCGCGTTTGAAACGGAAGAAAAAATCTATTTGTCAAGCGTTCAATCGGAAAAGTAATAATCCGATTTGATTTTCAACCGCACGTATACAGGTAAAATGCGAACAAGTGAAATAATGTTTAATATTTTTGAAATTTTTCATAAACGTTTACGAGTAGGTACTAAACAGTTACCGTTTTGCCGTGCTTTTTCCGCCCTTGCAATACTGTCGGCGGCGGTGGCGTTCGGGTCTGCCGACGGCGCGTAGTGCCGCAGGTCAGCCGCGGCGGAGGTAACGGGAGAAATTCCCAGCGGATTTCCGCAGACGCGTAACCGCTGAGACAGCAGCAGCAGCAGGACGACGGCGACCGTAAGGGCCGCTGAGGATGTCATCGCGGGTACGGTAATAGTAACGACGTGGCCGCGGTATCTGCGCGTTGTCGCTGCCGCTGTCGCCGCTGTTACGGTAGATGATGCGAAGCGACCGTTTGTCCGATTCCGTGGATGGGCAATAAGTACGCCGTGTGCAGCAACAGCAGCAAAGTGCGCGTATCGCCTTGTCCCGAAACTCTATTTAAACCGTCCGAACCGTTTCAATGACGAAAAGCGATTTGTGTTGTTATTATTTATATTATCGCCTACCTCCTCGGGCACCTCTCTGGACCGCCTCCTGTCCGCGCGGTCTGTCCACCGCCACCGCCACCGCCGCCACGGCTGCCGCCACCTTCGCGCATCCCACATACCGTTATCAGGCATATGTATATAAATAGAAAAAAAAAAAAAAAGAATAATAAAAACGTCCTTTCCTGTTTGTTTTCATTATTAATCGCATGCGCCACAACAACAACGTATTATTTGTTGTCGTACGGTGTATACTACCTACCTATTATTATTGTTATTTTTTTGTTATGTGTGTCGGTTGGGAAACGCCGCCGCCGACCCAATTAATCCACATAATTATTACAATACGCGCACGCGCTCGTTGCATAACGAAATTAAAACGCAAATGCGTTTTCGTTATTACAATCGCACACAAACACGTAATACAGAGCGACTATATTTCATTATGAACCAGGGATTTACGAAGATTAACAAAATGGACGCTGCATTCGCTTTCGGGTTTTATCAAACACCGTATTGGTATATGGGTAATCGTTCTATCGTTTTTTTTTTTCCCCCGAAGTATATACCGCACACATCAATTTTCGATAACCTATCAAATATTAACAACCACGTTTTTAAACTTTGGAATTTTTTTTTTTTTTTCGATATGCACGTTGGTCTTTTGACACGGAATGGCACCGAATTTAAAAACCACGGAAATTACACGGTCAGCCCGATTGTCTTTAGGTTATAGGGTGACCAAATATATACCTTATGAGAAAAAAAAAGAGACAATAATTTAGTAGGTTAGGTTGTGTTAGCTACTATAAAAAAAAAAAAAAAAAATCA